TGTGTCGGGGATGCTCCTCCTGGGTGGGCCGTGACCCCTGGGGAGCTGTGCCTCTGGCTGAAGACACCTTCAGGAGCCGGGGCCAGTGAGGGACATGAACGGGCAGTTCGTGGCCTGGGTGCCAGCGGCATGGAGAAGGCTGGGGTGACCCAGGTCTGTTTTAGTCCACATCCCCTTATTCTCTCGGCCCCACTCTGAGCTGAGGAAGATCCTGCCACAACCCTGTTCAAAGACCCTCCAATCTGCTCATTGCCCAGAGGAGGGGCCTCTGACCTGGAGTCCTCACTGGGGTCAGAGATCTGTGGACCCCTAAAGTGGAAGGCAGAGCTAAAGGTCCGCGCTTGTCTAGAAAGAAGGGTTGGAGTTTGCACCCATGTTCAGACGGACCCGTGGTCCCCAGGACATTAAGGACAGAGGGAGAGGCTCTGGGGCCTGAGCGCCCTGCTCACATCCAGGCTGCCACACCGCGGCCAGGCCAGGCGCTAACACCGCTCTGTGCCTTGGTTCCTCCTCTGAAAATGGGAAATAATAGCACCCATTTCATGGGGCTCTTTTGAGTGTTGAATGAATTAATATGACTGAAATGTGTAGAGAGAGCCCTAGTTGGTTTGGCTCAGTGGATAGAGCGCTGGCCTGCAAACTGAAGGGTCGTGGGTTCGATTCTGGTCAAGGGCAGGTACCTCGGTTGCAGGCTTGATCCCGTCGCTGGTTGGGATGCTGTGGGAGGCAACCAATCGATGTGTCTCACATTGACGGTTCTCTCTCTGTCTCTCCCCCTCCCTTCTACTCTCTCTAAAAACCACTGGAAAAATACCTGTGCATGAGGATTAACAAGAGAAAAATACCACATTGTGTAGGACAGTGGTTCTCCACCTCCTGGCCCTTTCATACAGTTCCTCATGTTGGGACCCAACCATAACATTATTTTCGTTGCTACTTCATAACTGTCATGTTGCTACTGTTAGGAATCGTCATGTAAACATCTGATATGCGGGATGGTCTTAGGCGACCCCTGTGAAAGGGTCGTTCGACCGCCAAAGGGGTCGTGACCCACAGGTTGAGAACCGCTGGTGTAGAGGGATGTGGTACATATCGCATGTTAAGTGAATGATGAGGCCGCAGGATATAGGAGGGCAGAGCCTTTAGGCACAGACCTGCCCCCCGGGGCCTGGGGCCCTCTCTGTGCCAGTTGTCATCCTCAACAAGCTTCAGGTCGGCAGCGTTTCTTCCACAGGGAAGCACAGGTGTGTGTGGACACTGTCCCCTCCCTTGTCCTGGCTCTCATGTCTCTGTTAATATGGCCTTAGTTGGTGTTTTTGTTTAAGTTGCTGCTTCACCTCTGGCTCATGGGAGTTTGTAGACAATACAGATCCTCGGCTTTTTCTGCTGCTCAGTCAGCCCTCCTGGTCCTGTGCGCGGGCAGCTGATGTTTGAAACTGACAAGCAGGATGGCCAGCTCTTTCTGGCTCATTTCATTCATCTCGTTGGGTTCGGCCTGCGGTTCTGGGAGGAGAAGTTGAAGGCGTTGATACATTGGAAGGTGCCTTGGGCTCGGAAGCCAACAGGCCTGGGTCCTGGCTCTAGCTCTGCCCTCTCATTAGTGGTGGGACCTGATGGGCACGTTATTTGACCTCTGGCCTCGGTTCCCTTGGGTGGAAAGTGGGGATCACAGCCCATCTCGCAGGGTCTCGGGCAGATCCCGTAAGGTCATGCTTCTGCCGCATGTCTCTCCAGGGACTTTACTCAGCACGTGCTGCGTGCCCGACAGCGACGCCGGCACTGGGACCGGCAGTGAACGAGGCCACCGCGGCCCTCGGGGTGGACGGCACACGCTGGAAAGAACAGTCTCTCTCTCCCACACGCTCCTTGCCCTGCGCCCCCGTGGGGACAGGCCAGTTCCTCCCCGGCACCCTCAGCTCCGGTCTGAGCCTCTGCAGGTTTGTGAATTCGGGGCAGGCACCCCGAGAGCCATCCTTTCCTCTCGGGGCAGAGCTGCAGAAGGCACGTGGCCTTGCTCGGTCCCGCTCCGGGCGATGCTACCTCTGACCACGTGGTGAAGGTGGTGTCTTCCAGGCTTCTGTGTGTGAAGTTATGCACAATTATATATATAGATTATGTAACATTATGATGTTGTTCGACTCATTAATTAGTAAATAACTAACACGAGGTTGGTGGGGAGCTAGAGGCTGCCGTCGTGCTGAGAGCTGCCCCTGCTCCCCGACTTGTGACCCGTCACTGCAGACTCCTGCACCCCTGCTCTAACTCCCGGGGCTACAGCTGGTTTATATAATGTCATTGTGATGCGTCCGTTGTGCCCATGTGGGCCAGTGGGCACCGTCCGAGCTGACTCCTGCCCTTCACCGTGTCCCCAGCATTCCTGAGCTCTTCCTTCCTTCCTGGCACAGCGAGTCCAGGCGGGCACCTCCCTGCCCCTGGAGCCAGAATTCCCCCCCGGGGCGCTGGTTCCTTTCGAAGCAGAGCAGGGTTTAGAAGCCATGGCCTGGGCGCCGGATGCATGGTGATCCGATGCCCGGCTGGGTCCTGGCGGACGAGGGGCGCTGTGGAGGCCGCTAGCGAAATGGAAGCAGGGTCAGCGGATTGGATTGCGTCGTGCGTCCGTGTAGTTTCCTGACTTTGCTGGTTGCGTTGTGGCTATGCAGGGTATGTCCTTGTTTCCCTGAGATCTACCCTGGAGTATCGAGGGGCAGTTTATCCCTGTGCATAAATAAATAAGAGAGAGGCTGAGGGAGGGAAATGAACGGAAAGGACGGGAGAGGAAAGGGTGGGGTGGGTCTGGGTGGGGTTGTTGGAGGGGCAGCGGGAGTGGAGGCCAGCGGGTGGCAGGAGCCAGGTGCACAGCTGCTGGGCTGGGGGAGGGGGCGGCGCTGTCAGAGCCTTCGCGGGGGATGCCCCCGGAGCTTCCCGCAGGGGCTGGGGCTGCTGCTGTGGCTCCAGCCCCCAGCGTGCTCCCCACACGGCAGAGTGCGCTAGGGCCGTGCCTCCTCTGTGCAGGGCACCTGCGAGCGCCATCCGTCACTCCGGGTGCAGGTAGAGCGGCCGGAGCCCAGAGGCAGTGACTGAGCAGCACATGGCGACCGAGTGGCAGGAGGAGGCCTGGCAGCCGCCTCTCTGGACATGACCCCAAGATAGAGACCCCCGGGAACGCGGGTGGGGGCTGTCAGCATTGCCGTGAATACAGCCCAGGACAGTGCTTTGTAGGGGGCATTCGGCATGAGGTGCCGGGAGTGCTGGGGTGACGCTGGTGGCCCGATGGGATTCTGCTTCTGAGCATCTTCCTCAGGAAACCACTGGCGACCTCCCTCCACCCCTCCCTGTGCCAGGTGGCTCGAGGCCGCCCGTGTGTCAGCTCCCGTGATCCCCGCAGCGCCCAGTGCCAAGGAGACTGAGGCAGAGGGCGAGCTGCTTCCGCAGGGCTCACAGGAGCGCATGGCGAGCAGGTGCGGGACTTAAGGAGATGATCGGGTAAACGTGTGGTGAGGTCCCCCGGGGACGGGCAGACACGGCCTGTGCGGAACAAAGCAACAGTAAGGAAGGCTCAGCCCAGTGCCAGGCACACCACACCGTGGGCCACACTGACCTGAGGCTTTGCATCTGAGCGTTGAGGCGCGAAGCGATGTTAATGATGCAGTGAGTTTAAGACGCGAGTTTTCGTATGTAGACGGTGCTGCTATTTTGGTAAATGAATTTCACATTTACCTCCCTATATCCATAGCAGCAAAGAGAGAATCGATCCTAACATGTGAGTGGGGTACTGCTGGGCTTGTGATTTGGGGGGTTTGAACTGTGTTTTCTCTCTGGGTGTCTGTACCTTCTAGTCTTTATTCCCCAGTTACGTCTTGTGGATGTCATTAATATAACGAGGGTGAAACATGCTTTTACTGATATAAACCACAGAACAGAAGGGCCCTCTGTGGGGTAGAAGTCGGGGAGCGGGTAATGTGCTATGTAAGGAACAAGACAAAGCCATGGGGCTGTGTAAGGGACTCTTAGCTCAAGCGTGTGGGCGCAGCCATCTGGCTTGCCTGACCTCATGGGCTCGCTCATGCACCTGAGGTCAGCGCGGGTCAGCTGCCGGCCTGCGGAGGTGGAGGTCACCACGGGACCGGGCAGCCGCCCGTTGCCAGTGCGAAGGGAGACTGCTGGGACTGGCCTGTCACCGTCCTCCAACAGGCGAGGCCAGGCACGTTCTCCAGGCAGTGGTTGTGCAAAGCAGGCCTGTGCCTGCCTCATTCTGGCTAATATTCTGCTGGCCAAAGCCAGTCACATGGTGAGCCCAGAGTCCAAATGCAGGGAGAACGCCCTGCCCAGAGCGGTGGGGGTGGGATGGGGTTCAAGGCAAGGTTACACGGACACAGGAGTGAAGAATTGAGGCCATTAATGTAGTCAGACTAACACATTCGACAACATCATTTTTAGTGGCTGCCCAATACTTCGTTGCATGGGTAAACCATCATTTATTTAACCAACTCTGTAAGGTTGGACAGTCGGGTTAGAATTTCCAAACTATTTCAAGGAATTGTAAGTCCTTCAGAGGATTAATTGGGGTTTGACAACACACACACACACACACACACACACACACACACACACAAATGAAGGTTGGGTAAATAAATTTGGTAAGTGTTGAGTTAAGTGAAGAAAAATAAGTTTCCTTGTTGCAGGACTTATCAGAACCTTTACGTGCACATGTGCATTGTGAACTTCCAAACGCCTGAGGATGCTCAAACTTAGGGATTTTTTCCAAGAAGCATCTCTCGGGACAGGTGTTCCTGGCTCTCACGCGGGGCTTTGTGCACCTGGGTTGAGTTTCATGATATGAACAGATCTCTGATGAACAGGGAGGGCTAGCTGTTGCCAACACACAATGGCCAGGGTGGGGGGCAGTCGTGTCGGAGTGAGGTGAGTTCTGAAGGCTGCACGCGGGATGATTGGGGTGGTGGGACCACGAGTCAGCACTCACCTGGCTCACCTTCTCTCAGCAGGTGCCTTAGGACCTCCCGATGGGGTGGCTTGGCTCTGGGCTCACGTCCCCTGTGAGCTGCCTGATCCTGGTGTGGGCGGCAGGCTCTGGTAAGTCACCACGTCTCATTCATTCAGCAAACATGTATTGACTGTCTACCTGCCAGGCTCAATCACTGGACAAAACACAGATCCCTGGCCTTAGAGATTTCGCTGTAGTGGGAGGAGCCAGCCGATGACAGATGGCCCTAATTATAAGCTAATTCTAGATTGTCAGAGGTGGTGGGACAGACGATACAGGGCAGGGCAGGGAGGGCGGGATGGCGGGGTCAAGTGGAGGACTGCAATTTAAAGCACGTGCTCAGGGAGGTCCTCCTGAGTGACAGGCGCTCAAGCAAAGACTTGAAGGAGGGGGAGCGTGCAGATACCTGCGGGCGGACCTCAGTGGAGGCCGGAGCCCAGCGCCTGCCTGGAGAGCTGGAGGGACCAGAGGAGGCTGGGGTGGGGCTGGAGGCAGGTGGCCAAGTCAGGAAGGACCTGGCAGGGTTTGAGCACAGGAGCGACATGACCTGTGACACTGAAAGGGATCCCTTTGTCTGTAAGCACGAGAGTGGAGGCCGGGAGGCCAGCGGGGAGGCTGGTTGGCGTGGCCCAGCAGAGGAGATGGAGGGTACTGGCTTCTGGACCCTTCTGGGAGAGAGATTTGAAGAGAGATTGGAATGCGGGGCGGGAGCAGGGTCGGGGTGACGCTGAGAGCTCTGACCTGAGCAGGCAGGAAGGGCCAGGTGTCATTTCTGAGGTGCAGAGGGATCTGGGCTTTGGGGAGCGGGGAATCAGATGCGGAGAGTCTGAGATGTTGACTAGATACCCCCGACTCTCCTTAACACGGGAAGTCCTCTATCCAGAGAACCGGTGCAAATGGAGGGCCGCGGTGATGGGCCGGTGCGGCCACTGGAGCACGATGCCTGCCGGCCAGGTGTGGGCGGTCTAGAGCTGGGTGATGGCACTCGGACCATCGGCAACCCCGATGTGCATAGGAACTCCCAGAAGTCCGAGGGGACTCAAGCTCAGGCCGTGGGATTTTTTTCAAGACGCATCTCTTGGGACAGGTGTTGCCTGGCTCTCACTCCGGGCTTTTGAAATCTGCCGGGTTCAAAGCCAGCTCTGCCGCTGACCGGCTGGATGAAGCACCCCGCCCTCTCATCCTGCCCTTCGATATTGGCCAAACCCAACAAGGAGCCAGGTGCCAAGGGCACCTAAGTGACAGACCGTGGGGATCAGCCTCCTGAGCTCAGCGGGGTGGAGGGGCTGGGGTGGGAGTGGCTCAGGGACAACCGCCTCCCGCACGCGCTGCAGGGCAGGTGCTGCTGGCGGGTCGCCCTCCTCACACCGCCACGTGTTTCCCTTTAATTTGGCCAAAAGCAAGTAGGAGAGCTGCAGCACGTAAAGGTCATTGGGGTGTCCCCTCAGTGGGCCCGCACCCCAGGGCCCTTCCTCAGCTCCAGGATCGCCTCAGTGCAGCTGGAGGCTCTGAAGACGGCACAGGGGTGGTCCCGGGGCGGTGGTTCCCTTGCTTTGTGCTGGGCCCCTTGGTCCTGTTCGGGCTGGTTTCCGACCTTCCCGGTGGCCCATGGCCCTCTTGCCTGTTGGGCTGCGGCTGCTCAGAGCGCTCCTGTGTCTCCCCAGGGAGTGTTCAGGTCCGGGATCAGCCCACCTGCTTCTCCGACTACCTCAGCACCTCCACCTGTGAGTGGAGGATGGGCGGCCCCACCAACTGCAGCGCCGAGCTCCGCCTCACCTACCAGCTGGATTTTCCGAACTCTGAGTAAGCCTGTGCCCAGGGAGGGGTGGGGGGGGGGGGCGATGGGAGGCCGGGAGGTTGGCCTGAGTTCGCCTGTTCCCGGTGGAGTGCCGGGTGCCGAATGCAGTTCCCCGCGGTTCCTACTGGGCCCGGGGCTGGAGCTGGGGCGCCGGGGGGCAGTGTGTGATACGGTGGGTGTGTCATGACGCCCCGAGCACACGCACCAGGCCCGCAGCATGTGGATGTGGGTGGAATACTGGACCAGACCAGCGGTTCTCAGGACCCTAGCATGCTTAAAATTAGCGAGGACCGCAAAAGCGTTTGTGCAGTTGGCCTATAGCGATCGCTCTTTACCCTGTTAGGAATTACACCAGAACATTTAAACACAACAGCACACAAGCCATCAGAGCAATGACACCATAACAGGCCACGTGTTCTCTAGAAAACTCCCTGTACGCGTGTGAGAGCAAAGTGGCAGATAGTTTTGTTAGAAGCGCCTCTCACTGACACCAGAGGTGCTCCCGGACAGCCCCCTGAGTCAGGGCGGGAGGCCTGCTCCCAGCCTCGCTCCTTGTCTTCTCATATCGATGAATTTATATGAGAGACCATGATTGCACTGTGATGAAGCCAGCTTTATTAAAGCAATGGAAGCATGCACCTTTATTAAAGAAGCGAGGCAAGCAGCCCTGTGCATCTGGCTTGTGGAGGGCAGACGGGCTCTCAGCTGACGTGAAGAGTGAGTCAGGTGGGGGCCTGAGGCATTAGATACCCTCCTGTCTATAGGTTTCAAATTCCTCTGCTGACTATTGTGGTGCAGATTAATTCTCAAGGTCCCTTTTTACTTTGCTGTGGCCTTCCAGAATTCATGAGAAGCTCTTGGCATTATTATCTTATTAAGCCTTAAGACTGCTGGCTTCTCTGGGGTTCTCAACCTTCTGGCCCTTTAAATACAGTTCCTCATGTTGGGACCCAACCATAAACTTATTTTCGTTGCTACTTCATAACTGTAATGTTGCTACTGTTATGAATCGTCATGTAAATATCTGATATGCAGGATGGTCTTAGGCGACCCCTGTGAAAGGGTCGTTCGACCGCCAAAGGGGTCGCGACCCACAGGTTGAGAACCGCTGGGTTAGGGAGTAAAACTGCCTTTTTTCCCTTTATCCGCCCTCCCTCCCCCCCCTTTCTGCATTCTCTCCTTAGGGGGGTGTTTAACCATTTGCTCTGGACCAGCAGTGTGTGTGGCGGGGACAGAAATGGTCTGGCTCTCAGAGCCCTGAATGCTCACTGTCTGGCCCTTTACGGAAAATGCTGGCTGCCCTTGGCCTAGCCCATGAGACACGGATGGCTGTTTTGGGAGGCACGTTAGGATGACATGCAGTGGCAGGGCATGTGCCACAGTCCCCTGTGCATGGGAGAGGCTGCGCCCGAGGTATGTCCCCCCACACACGTGCTGTTACAAAATCTTCTCTGCCACGGTGCTTCCCTTCCACGGCCTTCCGGGATGAGCTGAGTCCTGGGACCGAGGCCGCAGCCAGGGGCGTGTCAGAGCCCTTGTGGGTGTGGTGAGGGGCTGTGGCAGCAGGGAAGGCAGTCCTAGCCCACTGTCCCCACCACACACACTGGCCGCTCTGCTTCCCAGTCCCCTGACCTGGTCCTTGAGGCAGGTGACCGGGAACTAGAAGAGCATGTGGTTCCTTGAGGCATGTAGGGGGACACCCATACGTGCACGACCAGCCTAACACAGTGCCGTGTCCGCAGAAACCACACGTGTGTCCCTGTGAATGGAGAGGGTGCCGTGTGCCTGTGCGACATGCTGATGGGCAACGTGAGCACTGGGGACATCTACCAGCTGGACCTGTGGGCTGGGAAGCAGTGGCTGTGGAGTGACTCCTTCAAGCCCAGCGAGCATGGTGAGTGGGGCGGGGCGGGGCGGGTGCTCTAAGCCCCGGCTCTGGGGTGGGCCAGGCAGGCTCCAACTGGGGGAGGGGCCCAAGCAGCCTTTCCTTAAACTCAGTGGGGTTCTTGCCCTGTCTGGGCCTTAGTCCTCCCCTCTTTGAAATGGGTTGGGCTCAGCAGCACCAGGCCCCTTCAGCTCAGACATCTCAACCCCCCGAATGTGAGTGCCCTGACTGGGTGTTGAGCAGGCTGCTTGGTGGAAGGCGTGCTTGCTGCAGACCAGAAACTGAGCTGGGAACCATCCTCCACCCTCCCTTGACTGCTCAGCTGCCGCTGCTTCACACAGTCCATGGAAGGCTGACCTTATGCTGCTGCCCGGAGTCCCTGCACGCATTCCCCAGGAGCTGGCTGGGGGTAGTGACAGGTGTTCAAAACACCATTTAGAATAGAACATGGCAGTGGGCAGGTCTGGAGTGAGGGTGAGTGTGTGAGTGGGAGAGTGTGTGTGGGAGGGCACCTGTTTGTTTTTTGTTTTTTTACAATAAATTTTAAAGAGAGAGGAAAGAAGAGGGAGAGAGAGATAGAAACATCCATGATGAGAGAGAATCATTGATCAGCTGCCTCCTGCATGCCCCCTATTGGGGATCAAGCCCACAATCTGGGCATGTGCCCTGACTGGGAATTGAACCAGGTCCTCCTGGTTCATAGGTCTATGCTCAACCACTGAGCCACGCCGGCCAGGCAGAGGGCCTCTGTTTGTTGGAGCGGGAGTTTAGGGGGTGACTGGGGAAGTCCAGGCAGAGGAACTGCCACTATAGTTGCTGCTTGTCCGGGTACTTCTCTCCACTTCAAGGGAGGGTGTGCCATTTTGAGGGAGCCTCAGGGTCCTCTGTGGGAGGAGGCTGTGGGGATCGACTTTGCCCCAATGCCTCTAGTGGCCTCTAGTGGCCACTGACGGATGCTCACAGCCCCATTGCTGAGACCTGAAGTCCCTGGGCACACAGACCAGTCATATCAGCTCAGTTAGCCTGAACTGTGCACCTTGGAGGACCGGCTGGCTGACCCACCTGGCAGTGTGCTGGGCCTGCCCTGCTATATTGGTGAACAGGGCATCTGGCCTGCCCAGCCTCCTTCTGGGTAGAGCGACAGGCTGGCCCCGCTGGTGAATGGGGCACCTGACCAGCTTGCCCTCAGGGAGCAGAGTCAGTAACCAGCTGGTGCTGCCTCCTCCACGGGCATTCTCACCTCATTAGCAGTGAGTGCTCAGCCTGCCCAACCCCTCTGTAAGCAGAGAGACCGGCCTGCCCCACCATAGAGGTGAGTGGGACACCAGTCAGCCCTCTGTACCAGCAGAGCAACCCCTGGTCTGACTCTCTGCCCTCAACAGCAGAGTGCCTGGCCCGCCCCACCATCTGACATGGGCCCAGCTTGGACACAGGGACCTGCTGCCCCGAACCAGCACGCCCAGCCCAGTGCCCTCAGATGACTGGCCCCACCGATTTGACATGGTGTGCCCAGCCCTATCATCGTGACCCACTGTGTCTTACCTGGCACCCCTGGGCAAATGGCCGCACTGCCTGACATTGTCTGGTAAACATGACCTGACGCATCCTGGACACATGGACCTGCCACAGAGACCAGATGTGCCTAACCTGGTGCCACTAGAAGATCGGACGCTGCGACTTGGTGGGACCAGTCATCTCTGAACACATGGACTTGCTGCTGTGAACCCACCCTCCTCACCTGGCTCCCCAGACTACCTGACTGCTAATATGGAAAGACAAAGAAACAACCCCCAAATGAAAGAAAAGGAACTAAATGAAATGGAGGCAAGTAATTTGTCAGATAAAGAGTTCAAAGTCATGGTTATAAGGATGCTCAAACATCGGAGTGAGAATTACAAACAACTTAATGAGAATTATAGGAGCTAAGTGAGACATATACCAACATGAATAAGAATCAAGAGGAAATGAATGATGTAGCTGTAATAAAGAACACACTGGAAGGTTTCAACAGTAGACTAGAAGAAGCTGAGGACTGAATCAGTGTTAGAAGACAAGGTAGAAAAAAAACCACCCAATCAGAGCAGCAATTTGGAAAAATAATTAAAAAGCAGGAGGAGAGCCCAGTCAGCGTGGCTCAGTGGTTGAATGTTGACCTATAAACAATGAGGTCATGGTTTGATTCCCAGCCAGGGCACATGCCTGGGTTGCTGGCTCAATTCCCAGTGTGAGGTGTACAGGAGGCAGCCAATCAATGATTCTCTTTCATCATTGAGTTTCTATCTCTCCCTCTCCCTTCTTCTCTGAAATCAATATATATTAAAAAAGAAAAGAAAAGCAGAAAGAGACTTTAAGGGAGCTTTGGGACAATATGAAATGAAACAACATCCGCATCATAGGGGTGCCAGAAGGAGAAGAAGCTGAGCAAGGAATAGAAAATCACTTTGAAGAAATAGTGTCAGAAAACTTCCCTGACTTGGTGAAGAAAAAAGTCACATAAGTTCAGGAAACGTAGAGTCCCAATCAAGATGAACCTCCAAAGATCCACACCAAGACATATCATAATTAAAATAGCAAATGTTAAAGACAAAGAAAGAATCTTAAAGGCTGCAAGAGAGAGACAGAAAGTTACCTACAAAGGAGCTTCCATTACACTATCAGCTGATTTATCAGTAGGAACACTTCAGGGCAAAAGGGAGGGGCATGAAGTATACAAAGTAATGAAAAGCAAGGGACTGAGTCCAAGACTACTCTATCCAGCAAGACTATCACTCAAAATTGAAGGTGAAATTAGGAGCTTTGCAGACAAAAAAAACCCAACAAAACAAAACAAAAAAAAAACAAACTAAAGGAATTTATTACCACTAAACCAGCAATGCAAGAAATGCTAAAGGGACTGTTGTCAGAAGAAGAGATAGAAAGAGAGGGAGAAACACAGGCATAAAGAATTAAAATGACAACAAACAAGTACCTATCAATAATAACCTTAAATGTAATTGGGTTAAATGCTTTAATAAAAAGATATAAGGTAGCTGAATAGATAAGAAAACATGACCCATATATATGCTGTCTACAAGAGACCCACCTCAGAACAAAAGACTCACACAGAATGAAAATGAAGGGATGGGAAAAATTTTTCCATGCAAATGGAAATGGAAAAAAAAAGGAAAGCTGGAGTAGCAATACTCATATCTGACAAAATAGACTTCAAACTGAAGGCCATAACAAGAGACAATGAAGGCCATTTCATAATACTAAAAGGATTGACACAACAAGAGTACATAACCCTGGTAAACATATGTGCACCCAATATAGGAGCACCTAAATATATAAAAACACTTCTAGAGGACTTTAAGGGAGAGATTGACAGCAATGCAATCATAGTCAGGGACTTTAACACATCAGTGACATCACTGGATAAATCTTCTAGACAAAAAAATCAACAAGAAAACAGGAACCCTAAATGACACACTAAATCAAATGGATTTAATAGACATTTACAGAACATTTCACCCCAAAGATACAGAGTATACATTCTTCTCAAGTGCACAGGGGACATTCTCAAAGACAGACCACATGTTAGGATGCAAGCTAAGTCTCGACAAATTCAAGAGGATTGAAATCATATCAAGCATCTTCTCGGATCACAATGGCGTGAAACTAGAGATCAACTACAACACCCCCCACTCCCCCCCAAAGAAAAACCACCCACATTCAAACACATGGAGGCTAAATAGCATGTTATTAAACAATGAATGGGTCACCAACAAAATCAAGGAAGAAATAAAAAACTTCCTGGAAACAAATGAGAATGAACACACACAACCCAAAGCCTATGGGACATAGTGAACGCAGTCCTGAGAGAGAAGTTCCTAGCACGACACGCCTACCTCAAGAAACAAGAAAAATGGCTAATAAACTCTCTAACACTACAACTTAAAGGTAGAGAACGAGAACAACAAGAAAAGCCCAGAGTAAGTAAAGGAAGGAAATAATAAAGATTAGAGCAGAAATAAACGACAGAGACTAAAAAAAAATACAAAAAATCAATGAAACCAAGAGCTGATTCTTTGAAAAGATAAACAAGATTGTTGCACCTTTAGCCTGGCTCATCAAGAAACAAAGAGAGAGGACCCAAATATATAAAATCAGTAATGAAAGCAGCGAAGCGACCACTGACACCACAGAAATACAAAGGATTGTAAGAAAATACTATGAACAACTATATGCGAACAAGCTGGGCAACCTGGATGAAATGGACAAATTCCTAGAAAAATACAACCTTCTAAAACTGAATCAGGGAGAAGCAGAAACCTGAATAGGCCAATAACTACTGATGAAATAGAAGCAGTAATAAAAAAAACTCCCAGCAAACAAAAGCCCTGGCCCGGATGGCTTCACAGGAGAGTTTTATCAAATATTCAAAGAAGAGTTAACACCTATCCTCCTCAAACTATTCAAAAAAAATCCAAGAGGAAGAAGCACCAAGCTCTTTTTATGAGGCCAGCATTACCCTAATTCCAAAACCAAATAAAGACACTACAAAGAAAGATTCACAGGCCAATATCCCTAATGAACATAAATGCTAAAATCTTCAACAAAATATTAGCAAATCGGATCCAGCAATATATTTAAAAGGTCATACACCACGACCAAGTGGAATTTATTCCAGGGATGCAAGGCTGGGACAATATTGGCAAATCAATAAATGTGATACATCATATAAACAAACTGAAATACAAAAATCACATGATCATATATATAATTGATGCAGAAAAAGCATTTGACAAAGCTTAACACCCATTTTTGATATAAAAACTCGCAGCAAAGTCGTAGGAATCATACCCTCAACATAATAAAGGTCATATATGACAAACCTACAGCCAACGTCATACTCAATGGACAAAAACTAAAACCATTTCCCCTAAAAACTGGAACAAGACAGGACTTTCGGGAGAACCAAGATGGCGGCATAGGTTAACGCCGGAGTTTGCTGCTTTGAACAACTACTT